AAAAAAAAAAAAAAAAAAAAAAAAAAAAAAAAAAAGCTGCGGTGACCTCACCAAACAAGCGCAGAATCAAGACCCTTCACTTCAAACAACCGCAATTCAACTTATATTTTCAGAATTCTTAGACGTCTCAAAAAATCTATGCTCATAGTTAGAGTGCAGTATCCACTTTCTAATTACACTTCGTTACAGCTTCTTCAAACTTTTCTGAACCTAAATTCCTACTTAAAATCTGAATCCTCATGTCCCATCGACCAAATGAGAGTAATTTACATCACAGAACTTCAAAAAGCAGCAAAATTTTTAAATATTCCGAATAATTCTTTTCCGACCACAATCCATCTCATAACTCTTTCCAAACTGAATTTCGCGTTTGTCCTTCCGGCACTATTAAAGCTGCATTATGTTCCGCTGGCACGACTCACACACCTTAAAATTACGCTCCCCTCACAGCAAAAAAATACTTCTAAGCCAACTCCACATTTCAAAAGTTTCTCATCATTTTAAAAAATTTGGCACTCATTAAACAAATAGCAGCAAAACCCAGTAAGACCAAAACAGTCATAAGAAGCCAGTTGAAATCTTGCTGTACAAGCAACAAATTAGTAATTTCGCCTCCTTTCTATCCTACACATTGACAAAACGAAAATATAACCAAAAAGTGCACTTTTACAAGGACTTAAGCAATAATTAGCGTAAATAATACTGAAAAATTGTGAAACAAAGAAAATTTTTTTCAGACATAACCGGAAGCGCCAAACAGTCAAAAATCGTAAACGCTTTTGTAATTATAGTCAAAGCAGTAACTTACACGTAAAGTTTCCCGGAACGGCCAAAGAAGTAAATGCACAACTGGAGAGTGTTCGTGACTTGGGGACAGCAACACATCCCAGCCAAAAATACATGCAGCCAGTGAGATCATCAAGCGTAACTGGTATTCTTTGTTCAGATAAAACACACTCCACCTAAAAAAATACGTTCATGACAATTAATTCAATACAGGACATCCTCAAAAGGTAGAATATTATTTAAACTACTCATTCACGTTCGACAAAGCATTTGCTTCCACAACTTTCTAAGTGCCTTTCACCCTCTACAAAAAAATTTTAATACGCACATATACTCAAAAAAATAAGTATCAAAACAAAAAAAAAAAAAGAAAAAAATAATAAACAAAACCCATATAAAACATCTAATAAATTCACTGGAAAAAATCAATATATCTTACCAGAATGCACTGTTTACGATCATCCAGTAAACAGGACTGACCGGGGATCTAAATTCAATAACCGACGAAACAAACTCTTTGCTAGTATCATATCCATTCCTTATCGCCTGCATACTTTTAGTCTGCTCTTTCGATCACCAAAAGAACATAAGTGTCACATGCCAACTGGTATTGTAGTTAAAAAGCATAACCTCGACGTAATAATCCGCCTTTCAGTTTGTAGATCTGGGAAATAAAACTGTAACCAGAATAGGCAAAGATGTGATTGAAATGTTTGAATAAAACCGTAAATTAACACAGTAAAAACAATTCAAAATGAAACCAAGTAAAATTAAGTTCAAAATTAAGACATCACTAAATTTCCAATAGTAGTTCACCGACAAAAACAAATAAATTTAAAACAGCAGATAGAGAAATAACAAAAATTACAATAAACTTAGTAAAAAGTAAAAAGAGAGGGAAAAAAAACGAAAATATTTTTAGCTCGCAAACGATAAATTAACTAAACAAAGTTTACGATCAGAAACCAGCATATGACAGGCACCTTTCAATAATAGCGTACAAAACTGCTACGCTG